GGTTTGCTGGAGTCCTGGACGTGCAGCCTTTCTAAATCCATCTAACAGTACCCGCTTACCTGGACCCTCCAAAGTACCCTAAAACATGGGACTTGGTGACATGACCCTACAAAAAGAGGTACTTGTACTTGTTCCAGCTTTTCCGAGGTGCGAACTGAGACTCCAGGTATGGTTCCACCCCTTGCTTGTTCATGAACAAGGACCCCCATGTGTTGTGTCTCGACTTGGTGGAAACCGAGACATGTCTCACCAACGCAGGCGGAGCCTGTCTTCATCATCGTTGAGAACTTGTGACTTGGCGGGGCTGGTCCAATCTTGGGCACAAAGTGGGTGACATCTGGACGTCTTCTGGGGCGCAGTGTTGTTTTTTTGGGTGGGGGGGGCCCAGAAATATGAGAGAATGGCAATTGCAGAGATATGTTTGGCGACGCGTCGCGCGACAATCAATCGAAAACTGATTTGGACTTCCTCCATTTGCTCAGGTTTTGTACATATTTCTTCCTCGCATCTTGGCAGGGAAGAGGGGTCCCAAAGCTGCCAAGCAGGGGTGCCTGAAGCTAGCAACAAGCACAGACGAAACCTCGGCAAAGGTCTTGTTGCATAGTTGGTCGATCTTTGTCGCATGTCCATGCATTTTCACAAAAAGAAGAATTGGTCATTCATTTCATTACATGGTTCACTGATACAGATGCATGGAATCCATGCATCTGGTCATTACTGGTCCCAACCTTTGCGCCACGACAGGAGGTCTGCATCCGCTTCGGTGCCTTTGAACGGAAGCGCCGGGCCTTCATGGACAAGCGCCTCGGAGCTGAAGACGGCGCGCGAAAGGCGCTGGAGGAGATGGAGCTGCAGATTGGGGAGGTGTTCTTTTTCATTGGAACGAACCAAACGATCTCACAGTTCCATCAGTTCCCAGTCCCAGTACCAAACGATCTCAGAAATTGACAGGAACTGTTTCTTTCGGACTGGGACTGGGGTTTGAAAGACCGAAAAAAACACAGCGAGGATGAGAACGTTTCGGCTCCCGAAAAAGGCGGGGCAGGACGTTCACATGGCCGGGGGGGCACTCCGCGTGTAGTGATTAGTGATTCATGAGCTCGGAGCTGGGTTGTTTGGGTTCTTTGGTACTGTAGGGAGCAGCTTTGGGATGGGTTTGGGTTTGGTTCTTTCATGTTCTTTCCTTTCCACGCCTTCAAAAAGGGCCTTCAAATTCAAGGTTTTCGTACAGATCATGGCAATTGCACAAGGTTTGTTCTTGGAACCTCCACCAGCACTTTGAGGGATTGTGCTAATGACTCCCCACTTTTGGGGGGAAGTCCAGCTCGAAGTGAGTTCTGAGAGGTTCTGAGTGGTTGTGAGTGGAACATAGAACGGGACGACCAGGGCAAATCAGCTCAGACCCAATCAGCCCACGGTGGATGTTCCTGTTGCTTCCCGCTTCCCCATCGTTCAGGCTGTTGGCGGGGGTCCAAATCCTGAGCAATCAGTGAACCTATATGCCAGTGCCAGTGCTTCACACTGGATTTCCTTTGGGGGAAAAATCTGCAATGATGTTGCTCATCAACTCATCAACTCATCAACCCAGGTGCCAATCCCCAAACCAGGACAGCTGTCCTGTCCTCAGTAGAACTGCTCTTTGTTTCAATATCTCCTTGCTGGCATGAACCTTACCCAGGCTCAGAAAAAGAAAAGCTAGCTCCCACCCACCGTCTTCATTTTTCTGCCTGAAAAACACTACACCCCTCACCGTCCCACCCCTCGCTCTCGATCCATCCAGATCCATTCAGAAGAGACGACTCGGTCGGATGGAGGGATCGATGGACCGATGGACTGAGGTGGTTTGTCTTCGACGCGATCCTGGTTCTCAACATGGTCGTTGAAACGTGGTTGCTTCCCATCCTGTCACCTGGGCCGCACGACCGGACCGGACCGGAACGCGGCACGGCATCAAAGGCACGGCCACCGGTGCTGCCACGTGGCGCCGGTGCAGGTAGGTGCAGGCAGGAGGTGCAGTATACGGTTTGAATTGCGGATGGATATCCATGGGTTGCGAAAAGGGCTCTCGGTCTCGTGAGCTAGACTTACCCCTAAATGGCCCTAAGCACGACTTCGAGATCTATACAGGCCATGTCCTCTTTTGGGGGGGTTCCACCATGTCCTCTTGAAGACCATCTTTCATCCTTCTCACCATTGGGACGGGCATCCGACAACCCTTAAAACGCACCCAACACACTGAACACACCGATTGCGCTCAGCCACGCGAGCGACGACCAGGCGCCAAACGGCGGGTGAAACGCAGGAGAAACCGCGACCCGTGCGTTCGGCGCGAGGCGCGGGCCGCAGCGCCGATCCCCGAGGATTCTGACATCGAGTTCGGATGATCTGGGGAATACGATTGATGTGTCGATGCTCCGCGCTTTGGACCTGTTCGATGCTCCGACCCTTCGAACATGTCGGGGAGGAGAAGGATCAGGTGGGGACGACTCAGGACTTCAAGGCGCGGGGGGGCGCCTTCAGCCCGGTGAAAAGCACATAAATTGGCAGGTGGTGGAGCGGTTGTCTTCGGTTCGTGATTGACACATGCTGGCTTTTTGGACATGATCGGTGGGTTGCAAGATCCACCGACCGTGATTTTCACGTCTATTGGTCATTCATGGTCATTCCCTTCTTGTCGAAGCAGACAACTGACAGCCTAGACGAAGTGGGTCAGAACAAGCTTCTTAACCCATACTGCCTATACGGGTTTGTCAGCCGAGGGCACCTTCATGATTTGGAAGGAGAGTGGCGCTGATCATTTTGGAGTAGGAGAGTGGTATGTCAAGGTAAGTTCGTCAAGCTTTTATAAATGGTATTCAAATGGGGAACCTCCCAGTTCGACCTGTGGAAGAATGAAGCTAGACCATCCGTTGTGTGGCCCTTCTAATTATTGGCAGACCATGTGTACATTTAATGATATTAGATTCTAAGTGTCCTGGCTGGACTACCCTATCACTATGGATGTCCACCATCGGATATCGCATGGTCCAGGCAGAGATCCATGACGTTCCCTCCAGACCGACCGACGAAGAAGCTCGCGGGACCACGCCGACCGGTCGTCGACCGGTCGCCGCTCGGCCCCCGAGGCATGCTACGCTTGGTGAAGCTCACCCGGCTCTCGCGCATCACGCGGCTGCTGCGTGCCGTGCCCGAGCTGGCCATCATCGTGCCGCTGGGAAAAGAGAGATAGCAGTGACTGGAGGGTGCGGGGGGGGGCACAATTCTATGGACCATGATGGACCATGTACTGTACACATGTGTACACTGAAGGACGTTTACGGGATGGCGCCATCTACTCTGAAAGCACTAGGTCCAAAGTCACAACAGCCCAAAGGTATGAAGAGTCCAACAATGCAGAGAGGTCGAATTGGTTCGAAGAGGGTTTCTGATCGCACTGGGGTCGAACTTGAATAATCATTGTTCGGGATATTGTTTTGGTGTGTGTGTAACCCTTGGAATCATACGGAGCCTTTTGGCTTTTCAAATGACCTTTTAGATCACGAGGGTGCAATGGACACTTTGGAAAGCGTTGCCCAACGAAGACCTTTTCCTGGCGTTGTGATATGACTTTGGGACGCCAAAGTCACGTACCTGCATTTCGACTTTAATTCCCCACTTAGTCCTGTTCCTAACTAGAACAAGATGACCAGCCGTTGCACCCGTTGTGCATTCTGCAGACAAGTGTCCGTCGACAGTTCTGCTTTGTCTAATCGTGTGGAGATTCTGGTCTGGACTTTCTTGATTCCTGGTTTATTGAAGCATTGCTACACCTAGGCATGTGGCAGTCAGACCGTAGGTATGTGTATAGGTATTCTATCCCGTGTGTGTGTGTGTGTGTGTCAACCTCTGTAACTAAGAGTTTCGACTACTTTCACCCTTTTCCATGCAGGGGCACTGAGCACTCCTTGGCAAACTCAGTGCAACGAAGCTATGCCTTGGAGTGGGAAGCACGGATTGATCACCCGTGTGTACCTGCGACAATTTGGAACTGTTGAACACGCTGTCCAATTTTGCTCTTTGATTCCATGGTGGCTTCATGCTGCTCCCCACAAACCCTTTTTCCACCGCTGATGTGCAGCCGCGCTGATCGATCTGCAGACATGTGAACAATATGTTAAACTTTTCAATTGCGCCGACTCTTTCACCTTTCCGTTCCATCGCCATTTTTCCTGGGAATTGAGTCAACTGAAAACCAATGTCAGAGTGTGTGTGAGCTCGGTCGGGCTGCTGGTTTACTTAGTTGACCTCAAAAGTGTGCCCCTCCGGGGGCCGTGCGTGATGTGTGTGTGTAACCTTTGAGATCATAAGGATTCTTTTGAGGATTCTGTTTCACCTAGGCATCCGTGTGGCCGTGTGTGCCCCCCGAGAGTGCGCGCCTTTGTTTTATTGCTTTGTAATGGTCAAGTGCACAGGAAGGGAAGGAGCACCAATGGCATCCTGCGGGACAATGTTCTCTCCGCATCACCCAGCGGACATTTGGAACGGTTCGGTGCCTGCGCAGCTTGCAGCCATGCGTATGGGGAGAGAAGGTGGCCTGCTTCCTGGAGTTGGAATGCAGCTTCACGGTACCAAGTGGGATGAAGGATCGGTGGGGCCCCAGACAATTCCAGGCATTACCCGGCAGCATCAATCATCATTGTCGCATCAAGGGCATCTTGGTGAGATGCGAGACCCTGCCACGACCCATGCCACAGTATATCATCCAGAGCATCCCTGCTGCTTTGACGAGTGCCTGGTATGTCGCTGCATCGATGCATACGCTGCCCTCAGAGCAGGCGCCAGACTCAGGGCGGATATCTCAACGTGAAACAGGGTGACATGGTGTCCATACTTTCAGCCGAAGAGTCTGGGCACTCTGGAAATACATTCGCCCAATACGTCTTCGCGCAGTGCAAGGACAAGCGCGGTTGATGACCCGCACTTTTGCTACATCCTGAGGGTTGTGCGCCCAGATGCGCTGACACATGGCCTGACAACAGTTCATTGCAGCGGGCTCGTGTTGCCCATTGTGGGTCGCCATGTGCATCGCTGGCTCCTACATCCGAGAAGACTGTGGTCATTCAGGAAGAGAATTGTCGGAAGGGGGCCACAAGAAAACAAAGAAAACAACATCTTTTTGAGAAACAATTAGGAACAAGTAGGACATCATTAGGCCCGATTGTGGACGATTCGCATGTTTGAATGGTTTGGGACCCGGAGAGGCCACTGCTGGATGAGGAAATCCACGTTCGCTATAGGGATCCACCCACCGGCCGCCAGGCAGATCCAGGCAGAACCTCCACGAATCACCAAAAACAACTACCAGCGCCCTCCAACAGGCTGTTAGTTGAGGGTTGTTGGACCCTAACAGGTCTCAATTGGTGACCTGTCGGAGGGTGGTATTTAAAATATAGGCCCAATTTTGACTGAGCATGTTTGTGGGGTTTGGGACTTGGAGAGGCCTCTGCTAGATGTAGTGTCTACAGGCTACAGTGATACCATCCACCTTAGCAGGTAGAGCCTGCCCATTGCCAGGCAAACTTCCTGACCGTCAGTTTCACTAGGTTCTATTCAAACTGCTAGCTTGAAACAGTTGTGTGGGAGTGCAGCAGATTGGCTGTGCGCTGGCGGCACTTGCAATTGAAGCCCCTCAAACCCACATGTAACATGTATACAACTGCAGACGAGGTGAAATTGAATTAAGACGTTGTACGAGTTGAAGTGAAATCAATTCAATTCACCCAGATATGTTTCCCAACATTTCACGGGAATCAACCATCACCAAATTATTTGTTGGGATGTTGTTGGGGAGATTACGCCACGTGTCTGGCTTCACAACCCCCAGCCCCAGACATGATTGAAAGACCTCTTCATATCCCACCCGGAATTTGTGGTGTTGGTTGGGGTAAAATATCATCAACAGTCTACACTCCTTGAAATCATCCTGGAAAGTCGATGTCACCCCCTGTTTGGCAGTCGAATTTCGTTTGATTTCATGATCATCCTTTTCGGCTATGCCATCCACTTCCATGATTTCATTGGGGTGTACGATACACGTACGGGTCTTGGTAGTTTCTCCGTGATGGTTTTCAAAACTAGAAACATGTTCTAAGTGGGGGTCCGTCTAAGTGGGGGTCATTCTGTTTTGTTCGGTTTCGCTTCTCCACAAACCGTCACCGGAACGTGCGCCTTCCTCACCGAGGAAGGCGATCGGCCTGTCCGCTCGATCGGTGACGGTCTTTTTTGCGCTGTGGTTGGTGGCTCGGAGGAGAGGGGACACTGAAGCCGAACGAAGTGCCACGAGAATGTTCAGGACGTGCAACGGAAGCATTTATTAGTATAAGTATAAAACATACGACAAACAACTATTGTAGTTTGATATGTTTTTGTTTTAATTTGTCAATTGAGACGGGTGATTGAAGGCTGGCGAGACGCAAGGGTATCAGGATTGGATTGGAGAAGGGTTTCAGGAAAATATAGATGGAACGATAGGAACTCCTTTATCTCAATGCTTTATGAAGACCAAAAACACGGTGCGAAGATAGCAAGGTCACGAAAAAACAGAGAGGAGTTTGCACAAATACTAGTAGGGTCATTTGTGGGAGTGTTAGGGCATGTTTGTCTTAACATAGAATAAACATAGAATCGAATGGTTGTCCAATGGAGATCCCTAAGTAGTCGTGTAGGGTAGTCCAGCCAGGACACCACCCCATTGGACGGTCCTGGTATTTTACTTCTACCACAGCAGTATCATAATATCTTTAGTTTTAACAACTCAACAATCACTTTGCTGGTGGCAGACTTTGTGGAACAATGTGAAATGCAGAGATAAGAGTTTCACAGACACCTGTGATTGTCTGCATGTTCAATGGACAAATCCACGGCGGTCACGGTGACTCTTTCTCATTGAAAAGACCTGTGCGATCCCGACCGATCCCGACCGCCGTGACCGCCGTGACCGCCGTGACCGCCGTGAGGTGTTGATCTACGTGTTTGCCATCACCTTGAGGCCAGGCGTCTCCGCCGGATCTGCGAAGGAGGGGACCCAACAGCGGATGGAGACGCAACGGCGTAGTATTGGGACATGATGGGACCTTTCGAAAATGAACGCGATGGCGCCCAGTTGTTGGCTCTACAGAAAGCATCTGCAAAACTGTGGAATTTGCAGAAAACCTTGACCACTGCTGAGCGTGTAACATTGGACAAATGGCCGGTTGAGCTTTAGCTGCGATATTATTAGCTAAAAGCCAGCTCAGACAGCTGTTGCCCAGCGATTGGACACATTGAAACAACATGGTTTATTTGCTGATTGCTCGGCCTCGATTTGATTTGATTTATCTATGTATACTACCCAAACACTCCATGTGTGCCATATATGACAACATTGGGGTTGTTTGGGGGTTCAATGTATGCATTTATTCCAGTCCCATGGAGTGTTTGGGTATACTACTTTTGTTTGGTATATATGTTGCACCCACACAAAATCTCAGTTACACCAGGCCGTATCAGCTCAGCCTCCGTGGTGGGAAAGCACGTCGAATAATGACGCATCACCACAAGAGAAAATGCATACATACGTATACATACATACATACCTACGTACCTACCTACCTACCTACCTACATACCTACATGTATATACATACATACCTACAAACAAACAAACAAACAATCAATCAAACAAACAAACAAACATCCATCCATCCGTCCATCCCTCCATCTATCCATCCATCCATCCATCCATGCATCCATGCATCCATGCATCCATGCATCCATGCATCCATCCATGCATGCATGCATGCATGCATGCATCCATCCATCCATCCATCCATCCATCCAGTCCATACGTACGTACGTACGTACATACATACATACATACGATGCATGCGTATTTTCACACAGGTCCTTTTCACCAAGGCACAAATCCAACAATTTTTTCCCAGTTTTGAGCGGCTCTCCACAAAACACGACGTGCCCGCTGGTGGTTTCACGATCTGCTTGCCTCAAGCGATCGCGATTGGGGTGTTCAAACGGCTCTTTTTTAACGCGAGAATGCTCCTGAGTCCCTGCTCGTTCATGTAATGGGGAACTTTTGTTTGTTTGTTTGCTGGGGAGCATTTGTTCATGTCCTCCCAAGAGACCAGTTAACCCATTGGGCCAGGATGTCTCCTTATTAGAATACACACCCATTTGTTGGTTTATTCTCCCTTGAGGCAGCTCACCTCTGGCACTGACTTCGGGCAGAGCTACTTCAGCTCGGTGCCAGATGCGCCACTGGGTTCCCACACGCGTTCGGGCTTAGCGGCTAGAGGTTTTCACACGCGTTCGGATGGTGGAGTGAAAGGAAGCAAGTTGTGGGTCAGCTGGTCGAAAGCCTGCAAAGAGTTGTGACTTTCGGTGACTAGGGACTAAGGGTGGCAGGAACCCCTAGTAGTTTCTTGTTCCTAGTAGCCTAAGGGTGGCGACAACTCAATTAAAGATGAACCTACCCAACTCAGTCTACATTTCTTGTAGGATGTGAGTTGGTCACTGACGACACGAATGCGTTTTCATGTGGGACGAACGGAGACCAGACAAAGGACCACAGGACATCATAAGGGACATCACAAGCTGTTCTGTTTTCTTTTTTTTAAACGTGGTTTGTTCATGATGGGGTTGATGTGGGTTGATTCATGACTCGCCACATCGGTTGGGTCTGAGCAGGGTGAACGACTGCATCTTAGCAAGCCTGGGACCTGGGATGGAAGTTGTGTGAGAAGACATCCAAAGAGACACCAATGACATGTCCATCGACCATGAGAACTACACTTACCATTTGGTCTGCCATCATTTGTCAAGTTGTATCCGCTCACACTAAGCTTAACAGACTTTATATGACTTAAGTTCCACATAGTTCCACTTAAAGTCTGTTTTTCAAGTCCGAACTAAACTGAACAGACTTATAGACTTTAGATGACTTTGGATCAAGACTCAATTGCTCGGACGAAAACGAATAAAAACTTGTTCCACGTCTAGACATTCTTTGACATCTGAATCTGCACCTTGAGACAAGTCAACTCCTCGGTCTCCAATGGTGACATGGATGGCGCCAGGCGAAATTCCGAAGACCAAAGCGAGTGTAGACAGATGTGCCATCCACTGGAGATGGAAGACCATAGAATGTTTCATTGTAGGGACTCTTATTTTTATGTAAAGGTTTTGAACCGCCCACCCACCAGCACGTCCATTTTTCTTGAACTCGGTGGTGGGTGGCATGTGGTGGGTGGCCCATGTTTGGCTGCAAACGAACGACTCAGGATGGACACCTTGCTCTTGGATGGCATCTTGGCGGACTATGCCCCACTCGCGCACGCGGTCCCAAATGGGCATCCCATTGAGTGGCTCGGTGGACGGCATTGGGACCTTCAGAAAGGGTGGAGGCGATCGCTACTAGGTTCCAGGCCCTTGCTACTATACATAGAAACAAAAGGAACACAGAAAAGGAAGATAAAGGTCTACACCAGCAGCTGCTCAGCATCTTCATGTCGGGTTCACCTGGCTGGAAGCCCCTACACTATAGGGATCTCCCACCCAGGAAACCCTATACTTGGCACACCCGTCCGTGGACCGCTGCTGGGTCTTTCACTCCGTGGACGTCCGACTTCCCACTTCGGTAAGTTGATGAAGGGGGGGAGCCAATGGGACGTCACTGTGTAGGATCGAGACCGCTTAGCAAATCTGGGGAGAGAGAAAGCGAGAATGTTGTGGACTCTGGCTTGTCAGGAGCATACCACATACCAAGCGTGCCAGATCATACTGCATCCATTCATGTCACGTCTTTGGGAAGGACGTGACGCAACAACTGGATGTTGACATGAGAATCGGGTTTGTCCTATTACCAGTAACAGTCAGTAAACAATTATCACTATGTTTGAACAAGGCCTGCAACTGAACCGTCATCATCCACCGGGCCCCTGGTAATTAGGATAGACCCAACATGAGAACATCGACTGAAGCTCAGCGGAAGTGGAGTGCTCGGATCATCCCAGAATGAAGGTGGGTACCAGGGTAGGGCTGCCATTGGGTGGGTGGTGCCATTGGGTTCTATGAGGTGGATTCTGATCATCTTCTTTGTGCTGTTAGCATCCATCACCATCATGCAGCTTGGCGAAGCATCTGTGCTTCTTTTCTTCACTTTTCAGGCCAGGCCACGCAAACCCCTCTGGCTAGTCACCTCATCCACAAGGTCCTTGACGTCGCCTGAACGGAGAGAACCGTCGACCCGCCCCGCCCCTGGCGAAGCGCCTTGAGGAAGACGCTGTTCCAATAGGAAGGCACCCTCCCAAGTACCCACGAGTCCCTACGGCGGTCTATGGTTCATGCTCTCCATCTCTCTACGGCGGTCTACCAGCTGAGAGGTGCTCTCTATGCTCCAGTCAGGACTCTTCCGGTTCTTGCGTCACCAGTCCCATGAAACATGCTTGTGATGTTTGGAAGCCAGAAACCCACTCCAAACCAACACATGTTTAAGGAGTTTGAGGCCTAGGACTTTGGCTAATCTCATGTGGTTCTTCATCTCACAGCAGTTTCTTGGGCATGCCAGCATTTTTCATCCAGATCCTACAACGTGTTCCTTTCTAAATGGACTGCGCTCAAAAAACCCTACTAAAGAACATAGATAAACGTAGACTTTCAATGGTTTTTGATTCTTCGTTTAGAAGCAGGCCCCCAGCAGACTATGGTGATACAGCAAGGCAGCACTAGATTGGCGCTAGGTTGGCGCTAGGTTTCTTCATAACAAGATAAGCAAACAGGAAAAAGAAAAAACAAGCAGATAGCAGGAAAAAGAAGAAGCAAGACAAGAAAAAGGAAAAACAACAAGAAGAAGACAAGCAAGCAGCAAAAATAAGAATCTAGCAGGATAAAGAAATCGACAGAGATGTTTGCGCTAGGCTGGCGCTAGATCCGCGCTAGCACCGCGCTAGACGACGGTCCATTTCTCTTGACCACTTGCCCATCCAACATCCAAACCTTTTGAGTCAGCTCTTACATCCTTCGTATGTCGTTCTGCCGGTTTCTGAGAACGAAAATTGGAAACAACTGCGGAAGTCCAGCAGTAGCAGCAGCAACAGCTCCAGCCCCCTGAAAAGGTCCGCGCTAGACACCTCTCACAACTTTTGCAGTTGACATGCCTTCAGGCTTTATCGCCCCTGTGGGTTGAGTGTGGTTGGAGTCTAAAGAGGAGATTTTTAAGCGGGCCCCCATGGAATTGCGATGAGTGCACAATTTTGGGAAATGACACTTTCTAAGCCAACCAAGTGCAAAAAAGGAAAACCACAACAGGTACATGCTGGTGGGTGTGCTGGTGGAAGTGGTGGGTGCACTGGCCCATGCTGAGCAGCTTGGATCTGGGCGAATGGGGATGGAACACATTCAGCACTGGTCCTTCCGCTTCCAAACCATTTTTCCGGGCCCTTATCTTTGTAGGGCCTGTAGGGGGTGTTCAAGAGCCCGCCCAAATCGCAGATTCTGGAATTGTTTGTGCCAGTTTGAGCTCTCATCCTTCACAAATCACTGATGGGGAACACTCACCCGACGACCAGTTCTTTTCTCAGTGGAGCAGGAAAATTTCTTCAGCGGAGCAGGACGTGTTGGGAAGTCGCCACCGAGCTGGGACTCCTTTTCAGGCTTGGTCTCCCTGAAAAACCATGGCCAGTTCCAGCAGAGGGACCAGGACCATGGAAGAGAACGGACGTTTTGCTGGGTTGTTTTTGATGAAATAGCAGGTGTAACCCAAGTTGATTGTCATTTTGAATCTTGCAGGATGTTTGTCTCACCGCAAGCCTTCCACCAGATGGTTTTGACCATATTTTTCCTATTTTTTGAAGTGTTTGAACAATTTCCAACGGCTTTTGCACGTCGCGTTGATTCGCGTTGCACCGGTGACGACTCATTTTTATCTCCCAGCGACCCGGGGGCGAAGAACACCGCGGTTATCTTCATCTCGTCTCCCCGCATCCCGAGGAAGGAGAGCATCACCGCGGCTTGGCATGCTGCGCAGTGTGTGTGCGCGCGCAGTGTGTTTCCGTGGGACATGATCCACCACCCCAAAATGTGTAGTGTAGGACGATTTGATGCAGATATATGCAGGATTGAACCTTCAAACCAGGCACGGGAGGATTGAACCTTCAAACTAGGAGGCTATGAAGGTATGAAGCCTGCGGGTCATATTGGGCTGTGATCTCGGCAATGAAACAAATTAACTACTGTACTGTTTGAGATCCTTTTTGCTCTTAGACAAGATACAGGTCCGAGATCCTTTCTTCATTTCGCCCGCAGAAGCATGTGTATGGGTTGATGTCAATTCGGTGCCCCTTTAACCAACAGAACCATCCCGTCCTGGGCCAACAACCGGATTTTGCAAAGACCGATGGTTGACCAGACCGCGGAAAGACCAGCCTGGACCGCAAAAGTAAACGGATGTTTGCGTCCTTTTGAGACCCTATGACCCTCCAGCAAATGGGTTTGGAGTTCCCCAAGAGGCTGATTATGGGCACCTTAGTGACCGGGAAACAACTATGGGATGGTGTCAAGGACGTTTTCCAAAGGAGATGCACCAGTTGCTGGTATAGGTTTGTGTCAATTTGCAGGGAAGGAAGGGCGGAGAAGGTTGACATGCAGACCACGTGTCTCACAATGCAGAGCCTTTGCTCAGCCGATTTTGGTCAATGTGTGCTAGGGCTCCCTCTTGCTAGTACTATTTTTTGACTGGTTCTCCCTATTTCAAGAGCTTTCCAGATCATGACCCTCCTCTGCAGGTCACCAGTTTTCAACCTATTTTTTCGATGAGACCTTTCTTTTGATCAGGCACTACCCGATGAGACCTCTGTGGAAGGCACTGAAAACAAGGAAGCCACTTAATGCGATGAGGTGGGATTTATCGCTTCATCGCTGCGGAAGAAGATGGAACAAGCCGGGCACGATGAGGAGCTGCTCCGCGCGATGCTCCGCTCCCAAGCTCGCTCGCGATGGGTGGAGATCTCCAACAAAAGGAGTGTAGGGTAGTCGAGCCAACACACCCAGACAGGATGGTCCAGGTATAGAGGGGTTTAAGATATGGGACCTATGACAAGAACTATATATATATATAATATAGTTTTTCAGCATGCTTTGCTGCCAGGGGGAATTGGCATCCTGGACAGATAGATGCGGGTGTTTTGATTCTCGTTTGGTGTTCGAACATTTTGATTGGCATGGTAGGGATTGGTATGGCGTATGGACTGTATTTTGGAGACTGTTGTTCCTGAAAATGTTCCAAGTGGGTGCACTCGACAACATTCCAAAGACACTCCCAGCCATAGTACTGGGTACATTGACCAATCCTTGCCTTGACTCCACTTGGTTCCACAGAACATCATGGCCATTTGACGTCATTTGGCCATCTTAAAGCAACTTCACCCTCCAACCACAGATGCCCAGGCACAATTGAAAATCATTCTCTCGACCAAGCGCAACAGTACGTAGTCTCTCGTAAGCACCCGTGGCGAACTCCCTAACCCCTTCATTTTGGAAGTTTTAGGACTATGTTTTGATTTGAACATTGATCTCAATACATCTTGATCCCCCAAAAAGACTGTTTTATTTCTCCAAACACTGTTAGCCACACTAGGGCTTCTTACGGCAAGTGTTAAGGCCGGGTGCCCAGGAAGAATGTTTTTTAGATCCCCCCAAAAAAACGCCAAACATTATAAATCATACCAGTTGCTTCCAAGGGAGGTCACCAATGGACAGCCCTACACTGCATAGTTATAGGTCACCAAACAGGACACCCATGGCATGTCTTTGTAGTTGATCCTCTTACCGTCAACGAATCCTGGTGCGTCCCCCGTGACTCGTTGGAGCGCTCCACGTGTCGCCCGCCGGTGTTCCGCTCACCCTTCGGTCCGACGTCCGTTTGGTCGTGTCGGCCAAGGGAACGGAACCAGAAAGCAGCCAGCCATGCATTGGGACCAGCCAGGAGTCCGTCCTGAGCAAGTCGGAGCTTCAAGACATCCTCTTGGATCCCGAGATCACCGAGGTGGCCCCGTCGAAGGAACCGAACCAGAAGGAACCGGAAGGAATCCGCACCCAACCAGATGGCACAGCGGGGAGTGCCAAGTTCGGTGGTTTCGTAGTGGAGCCCCATTGTTTCTAGTCCTCTTGGGGTGCCAGTGCCATGACACCTCTGAAACCAATGATATAGATTGTACCATCGGTGCGGTGTGGACCGTGAGATGCCCAACGATAAGACCAACAACGTGAGCGCCACAGGTGATGTTGGACCAAAATGCTCCAACAACTTTGTAGCATTCAACAACTTGGGTTGACAGTTTACTGCAACCTGTAGAAAAAAGAGGTCCAACAGCTTTGTAGCACCAACAAATAAACTGTTGACGTCCGGCCCTTCGCTGTTTTCTGTCTGGTCTTGCTCTGCTGTGCTCGTCTCGCCCCCTTGTAGCACCAGGTCCTTCAGTCGGTTCAGGTGGACCTGCCTCTCGGCCCGACAAGAGAAGAGTGGAGTTCCGCGTCATCGCTGGGGGGAAAGAGCGAGCGACGCGAAGAAGGAACGGACGAATGGAAGACGGACACACTAAGAAGTGTTTGATGTGTGGTACACGGTTCGTTTTGAACGGATTGGACACACAAAGAAGATCGATCCTATATTATATAAGTGTTTTAGACATGTTTTGACATGTACCAGCACCTTCTGGTTTGGGGTCATCTGGCTGGAAGACCCCGTGGCTACCTACAGATCTCCAGACAGCCTTGGAAGGTCCAGGTATGTGACTTGTCGTCGGACGTGCGAACGAGGGTGTTGCAGTGGTGTTGAGCACCAAAGGGAGGTTCTCCAGACAGCCTAGAGAGATGAGCACACGATAGCACAATGGCTGGGGGAAATCCCTTCGTTTAGCCACCATCTTCAACTAGCTGCTGGACTGGGGTCCCTGAAACAGTAACAGGACCCAGTGAATACACTTCGATGATGCCAGACCCCAGTCCGGAGTTTCTGTTCGTCAACCCGAACAGCGTTCAAGGCTGGACATCTTCTTGCCGGGGTTGGGCATCTCTTGTTACCTGCAGCATATCAACCTAATCCTCAGGCCTTGGACTTCCCATTTATCCCATTTTGGTCCCTAGCCCTAAACTTCCAGGACCCTCCGTGACCCAATCTCCTTCGACATGCCACCCACCAGCCTCACAATCCGTTTTCTCTCTCCCTCGCTCCAAAATCCGCGCCCCGCACCCGGAACGCCAATTCCGGGGCCGGCTCCGCCACGCGGACGGGCAGGGTGGCGCTGATGGAGCTGGTGAACATCGGCTACGAAGACGCGGAAAAGACGGGAGCGACCATGACCTTCGAGAAGAGCCTTATAACTTAGAAGCGACACCGGCCCGACCGGCGCGAGGACCGCGTCGACCCTTGAGACGTCGGCCCGAAGGACCGAGGATTGGTGGGGTGGGGTGGAACAGGAAGACGAACAGATCTCCATCCGGGTTCGCGACCTTTTTCGCTATTTTTGTGTCATGTTTAGAGATGTTTCAATGTCTATAGGTCGGAGATTTTAGTAGGCAATGGTAGACACACACCGGAAACACACAGATGAGGAATGATGCAGATCCATTTGGTATATCTTTTGGCTATTGGTGAGCGGTTTCGATGTCCACTATCGACTCTCAACACGGAAGTTGATAAGTCACCCTGCTGTTGGTAAGTGCAATGCCCATGTGGATTCCGATGTTCCTCGGAGTGTGCCTCGGTACCTGGACCAAACTGACAAACCCGCAGCGCAGGCCGCCATAGTTCGGGAGGACTGTCATCCAGATGCGCCCCCACAGCCCAGTCCAGCCCAATCCAGCCCAGTCTTTCAACTGGTCAATTCCGGGAGTGAGGTAGTATATACCTAGCGACCAACGAGCAAGACCGCCCAGTTCCGTTTTCGGGTCCGTTCGGGTCCGCTCGGCTTCCAATATTTCTTAAAGTTCTTGACCCAGTGTCCCTCCGGGTTGTGCGGCTCCTTCGTTCCGCGGAAATCGCCGGCGTCCCGATCGTCCGAACGAAGTCCGAGGATCGTGGGATTGGTGGCTTGGCTGGGGAGGGATCCCCCGCAAAAGACACAACGGATGACATGATGCGGCCTTGGGATTTAGGGGGAGTGATACACCTATGATAATACGTCGCATATCCCGAGAGAACGGTCTTTGCAAGCTCAGTCTTCCGGATTGGTTGTCGGTTTGGATGGTTGCCATTGGGCAAAGCCCAGGATGGGTCTTTGGGATTGAGCCCAGGAGTGATCAAGTGGGGTTTATATTGGTTATATAGACTTGTGACTTGATCGTTTTTGAGGAAACTTGAGTGAGATTTGCTCCAGGATGTCCAAAACCGTTTTTGGTTTTAATATACTGATGGATGTTATTTTTGTTGCCATTGTGGGTCTATTTAAGAGGATCATTGCAGAACAACAATATTCAACCCTAGCAATGATACACTGGTGGTTTTACCCCATTATTTGCAGAAAACGTTATATTATGGTGATATTATAGGGACATTTGCTTTGACTGTGAGTTGTGAGGGATTGCTGAGGTCTTTCCTGTCTTCTTTACTTAGCTTTTTGTCAGCAAACCGCCTGCAGAATCCGAAGCAGACTCTGGGGGGAGACTAATTGAATTATTGAATTTGCAGCGACTCCGGTTCGCTTTGTTTGTTCACATTCTTTTCAGGGACTCTGAGGGGTGTTTAATGGTGTTTACTGGTTTCTTTTGTACTCTTGTGGTCCAGATTCGAATCTAGAGACCAATAGGACTCTATTTCATTGATCCCCCCGCTTTCTACACATGTGTTTGGAGACTTGGATGTGTTGAACAAAGGGAAGTGGAAGTTTCTCGTTTCTTCCCTGTGGCTGTCAGACAGCATCATGCAGAAGCGCAGAAGCTGCGTTTGGTTCTGCTGTTTGAGGTGCTGAATGGCCGCGGGCAGAACACGGCCTGCGTGAAGGATACCTCTGAGCTGCTGAGGAGATGTTGGGGTCACAGTGAAAGCGAAGTTGAACCCGGGTTGACCCCACCCAAACCATTGTCACAATTATTCCCAATCCCAGAAACTCCATGGGACTGGTATATATGCCTACATTGATGCCTGAAACCACCCCAATGTAGGTAAATATGTCTATACATGGAGTGTCTGGGAATTACTATGTCATAATGATGACTGATGTGTGACGATTTGTATGCCTGTCCTTCGCCACACCGGTTTGTTTTTCGCACGACCACTCTGCACCAACGAGTTGCTCATGACTGGAAGCCTTGGCAGCGGACTCCGCAACGGACTCCGTGACCAGGATCCTGAAGCAGATCATCATCCAGCGGACCAGCCGCTGGATGCGAAAAAGGGGGGGGCTGGAAGTGTCCCGAACCTGGTTCCTCCCTTAGAAAACAAACAACAATCCCAGACACGACCTGTCTGGGACTGCCAGTCCGGACTGCCTTCAAAACGGCCAGGGGTGGTTGACTGGGGATCAATCTAGGCATATATATAAGTCCCATTAGTCGTGTGTTCTGGGAATGGATGATTCGTACCAACCGGTGCGAAGCCGGTGCCGGACCGGTTGGGACCGGTTGGGACCGTCGTTCCTCTTCCGCTGCACCTGCCGAAGGATCGACAAGCTACCGGAGTATTGGATGAGGAAGGCCATCCTGTTTTCACATGTAGGAAGGCATTGAGGAGGGTTACTCCACATGTATAGAATGAGTTGGGGTTTGAAAGCGACACCAATCTAGATCAGAGATGAAAAGGATTACGCCAACCACAGGCCCCCAGGGTTTGTCATCAATGGACATCCGGAAGCCTCACTGTATGGATACAAGATACACTTCCCCAAATTGACATAGCAACCACCTGGTCGCAGAACTTAGTCTCCCAAACTGTCCAAACTTGCCTGTGGGTTCTTGACAACCCAAACAAACCTTCATGTTAAAACATGTCAAGATCCTTCGCATCGTCGACTGCTTGTGGTTTTTTTGGGGCATCCGACCATTGACTCCTCCCGCTGGACACCCTCCAGGCTTTACGGAACGGCGTCCGTTCGTGTGCCGTGCATCAGCATCGGCCGAGGCGAAGTCTCGGAGAAGCTCCAAGATGAGATCGCCATGGTGCCCGATCTGCGCAGAGAAACAGACGACGACCAGACGAAGAGACCGTTCGCTGAGCAAATGGTTGCAGTTGAAGTAGCTCAAATCGGAAGACGGACCCCCCCAAAAGGTGGGGTTCCGTTCGGGAATTTCTAGACCAGTCTACAGGGGCGATCGGGGCGATCGGGGGGGTTCCGTCCGTTCGTGAATAAGGATGCAAAAGGGTCATCTGCGTCTTGACGTTTGCTTTGTCTATGTCCGATCAGTTTTTATACAAATAAATAGAAAAGGCTTGAATTAGAACGACCTCTGGTTTGGAACACATGTCTCTATAGGACCTGCCTGTCTTGCAAGAATTCAATGCTCCCAAAAGGAGACACTGATGAATTTCTCGCATTTGCTGCAAAGAGATCCTCCAAGGTGTTTGTTCGGAACCCCTTCAATTCGCTGCACAGTCTCAAGCTCAACATGGCTTTCATAACTGTTTGGCGGAATTCTGGATCATTCTGGATCATCTCTGTAGACTTCAAGACATTGAAAGATTGGGATGTTGGGAATTGGGACACTGCCACCAAGTCTTCCCTGTTAGACACGCCTTTCTTCTTTCTCCATCGCCGGTCAAGTGTGCTCCATCGCCGGGCGTCGGAGACGGGGAATTTCTGGAGGCCTTCGACTTCGATCTGAATGATCCACGACTTCATCACTCTCCCTTATAGAGACCCCCAAATAGATAATCTCTTTCAACATGTATTGGAAACCGTGCCACGGTTATCTATTTGGGGACCACTCTCCCTTCTTTCTCCCCAAATATTATACGCTGGGCATCTTTTAGATTTTTTCAATGACACATGACACATGACACGATCAGATACTGTAATCGTTTTGGGTACCAAGACTCTTCCGCACACTTTTGGCCAAAAGAAAACCCGACCCTCGTCGCTCCTCGTCGCTCCTTGCAGCCGCATCCGAAGCCTTCTCGCTCTTCTAGGTGCATCGAAGCATCCAAAGCATGAGGGAGGAGCAAATGGAGGGCGTCAGCGTGCCTTGGCGGGTGATGGCAGGTGGCCCGGTTTTTTTTCGCTCGAGCCTCGGATTTTGGGACATTTTGGGGGTCAGAACATGAGAACATGTTTCTTCATGAAAGAAAGAATAATAAGTAATTCAACGGTAAGCAATTCAACGTCATTCTGAACAATATGCATTTTTGTTTTTGATTCTTGATGTTCTGGCTTCCGTGAGTACCTCTGAGACGCATGCCCCTGCCCCTTTCGTGCACATCACCTAACCTTGCTGATATCCACATGCATCCTGGGCTGCTTTGGAGGTCTCCCAATCTCAGCCGTTTTGGTTGCGATGAGCATGGCATCTTCCGTCACACGAGCCGCTGGACCCCGGTGATGGCTCGGTATTCTTTATCGGAAACAGATCGAGCTTTCCATTGGTGGTCTGAGGCAGGTTTGCTACTCAAGGCTGAAGCCTCAATAGCTTTTAGCAGCTCAAGAAGAAGAGTATTCTTTGGACCCTCAGGCTTTACTTACATGACATAGCCTGCAATGAGCTGATTAGGCCCTAAACAGATTGAACTCTCTATTGAACGTCGCTGCCGACCACTCCCATGAGGCCTTCTCACGCTTTGCCACTTTGCTGCGACGAGTGCCACGCGTTTTTTTTCATGCGAAGACCAAGACGGAGGGTTTGGAGTTCGGTTTCGAGGTCGACTGACAATGACAGACACAGAGGCCAATGAATGGTTGACTTCAGTGAAGAGAGCCATCTGAGCAAGGCCAAAATCGGGTGGCCTGGCCCCCCTGCTAAATGTATTTATCTTTAGCCAGATTTTTCAAGCGAAATGTGGAGGCTAAAACTGATCGTGATTCCAAAGACTCTGGCTAAAATGGGTCTGGATTTTGGATTTTGATGTTGGCTACCCCTATTTTATTCGAGGATTTTAGCCAGGGCATTCCTGTGAAGAAAGCATGGAGTGATGAGATGTTTTTTGGAGCCTGATGTTGGACCCCGCAATCTTATTTAGGATGATTCTAGCCAAAGCTTGGTTGCGAAGAATCCAGGGATTGGTTTCAGGGAAATCTACAGGAAACCATTGTTTTCAATTCTTTGGCGCGGAAAACACAGATGTGACGTAGCTCACCGCGGTGTCCTCTTCGGGTAGTTTGGTGTCATGTGTTTATAATAAACTACGCTTCATTTTTCGGCCGCAGGCGGGTTGGGGATTCGGGCATGGTTGGGGGCTCCATTTTCCTCAGTGATAGGGCTCCAGTACAGGAATTCAGGGGTTTACAAGTTGTTTACAAACTAGAAGTGTCTAATCTCCAAGTATTATATCTTTCAATATCTTTCAAAGGACGGTGTGCTGCAGCGCTCACCAGCGCAAAAGACCTCCGGGCCGACCGAGGAGGACGAGGAATCTCCACCCGAGGAGGACCGAATGGCCGAGTTGATCCGTTGATCTGGAAACCTCGCACAGTCCATCTCCGCCCCTCGCGGTTCCATCATGCTCCGCTCTGTCTCACCAGGGGTCATGGATCCCTAGGCCTCCAGTCATACCTTCTGAGAAGGTGGGACTGGGGTGGGTTTGGAGGTTCCAAATCCCTTCTGAGGAGGTATTTGGAGGTGTAGGGGGATGTGGATTTTGATGGGCACCCTGACGGCACCCGGAAGCATGGATCGCATGGCCCAACCGGGGCAGGTGTTCCACACCTGCGCCACGCCATGGAGAAAAGACGAGAATCCGCCGAGTTGGAAGTGACCCCCCTGGCGAAGTCGGCCGAGTGACCACCCGCCCGCTCCAGGACGTGAAAGCGAAGAAGACGGCTCGAGGCGTGTGGGACGTGACGTGTCGTCACGCCTGGACGCGTGGGTGGCGTTGGAAGGCGTTGGAAGGAGGTCTCTCCGCGCTTGGCTTCGGAGAGACACTGCCTGAAAGTGATGGTGTGGAAGTGGGAAAACCATTTGTTTGTAGGGGGAAAATGGTCATCCTTTCCGGGCCATGCCATCCACGTAACCATGATGGTTCCAGGGAGCGCAGGGGAGTTTAAAATGCTTGGCTTGGAGGTAGACAGCAAAAGTCAAGGCCAAACGACCAGCAGTTTTTCTTGAGTGCCAACATCTATACCGAGCCAAAGCACTCCCTGGAACACTCATGGAAGTGAAAATGGCCTCTTCCATGGCATAGGTATCAAAAAAAATAAAAAGAGCATCAACAAAAACAAAAACAGGATCAAGATAAAAATAAAAAGCGAATCAAAAAATAGATATTCCTTGATAGGCCTTTTCTGCTGCTCTCCTGGCCTTGTGGTCTGCGGGTCCTCTGGTAATGTGGTCCCTTGGTCCTCTGGTCCACTGGTACTTTGGTCCCCTGGTCTCTTGGTCCTTTAGTCCACTGGTCCCCTAGTCCTCCGGTCTCCTGGTCCTCTGGTCCTGTGGTCCGCTGGTCCCCTGGTATCCTAGTCCTTCTGTCTCCGAGCGCTCTGACAACGCCATGTAGGGCCTAACTTCGTGTGAACGCCGTGACTACTGCTACTGCTACCACTACTACTACTACTACTCCTCCTCCTGCTGCTGCTGCTGCTGACTGCTGACTGCTGACTGCTGACTGCTGACTGCTGACTGCT